CTTACATGCATTTTAAATTAATTGTTAATATGTTTATTATTATTTCTTATACATTATTTGTGTAATTTTATTGAGCCTTAGCTTATTAGCAGTGGTTGTACTGTAGGAAATGGGAGGGTGCCAATAGGGGATTAGACAAAAAAAGGTGATTGAACTTTTTGTGTACATACACTTTTTGTGTGTACAAATATATCTAGGTAAGAGTTGTACAAACACTTTTGGATATGTATGTAAATTAAAAAATATATATATTTTAGTTAAGCTTTATATTTCATTTGAGGTGTGCATTTTATTTGTGGTATTTTATATATACTTTTTGTTTTGACATATAAAATTTGATGTGTTAGGATATTCTTAATATGTTATTTCTTGCTCTCTGATTTTGATAAAAGTAATTCAGAATGATTGTTAGTAAGAATGATGTTTGTTCAGATTCTCCTTCTCAGTTACACTTTAGATTGACTATTTGGGGGGTCAAAATGGGGTGTGACAGCTTCTTTACAGGGTTTGAACCCAACCATATCTATATGTGTAGTATTTGAATTTAATTTCTTCATATTAATTATATGCATTGCATTGAGTGATGGAGTTTACATCCTTAAGATTATCTTAAGTACAGGGTCTATTAAGTTTTTTTTTTTTGAAATTAATTTTATGATACATTAACGCAAATACATGAACATTTTTTTTAATAAGATTTGTGCTTGTACTTTCTCTTTTCATTATTTAGGTAATTGTAAACCTCTAGATCTTATCTATTGTACTTCCATATCACTCCCATATCTAGAGGATCAAACTTTGAATATCGATTAGGTTATGGTCCCTATCACCTCCACCTTTGGCATATGAAGAATTGGGCTTGTAGATTGAAGCTTAAAGCCCTGGCTTATAGACAAGATAGTCAAGATACTTTCATTTTCGAACATTAATTTTTGTTATGAAAGGTCATTTGAATATTTTCTTAAAAATTTTGGTGAACCATGTGCTTGTAACACCTATTTTGTTGTTTAAATGAATTGTCTATATTTAGAGATGATTACTTTTATAGACCTTGTTAACTTTACCTCCTATGTTGAGGTTTGATGAGAGGATTGGGTTTTTTTTTTTTTTTTGATTGGGTTTGATGATTGTTATTAGATCATGAATTTTGTCAACTCTACTTTTGTAATATCTAATGGTTCCTAAGGTAACATGCTAATTTGGCTTAATTAAATTATACCTCAAAATACCAACTTTCCAAAAACCATCAATGAGCATGGCATTATGTTATACTTGTCAAATGGATCAGTTTGACATATAGAAATATATGTTAAGCTGCAAGGATGTGGAAGTTATATAATTATTTTTGATTTGAATAAATTTTCACAAGTTTTTAATTAGTATTTTTTATTTAAGAAATTAACTGTACCCGTGATATAACAAAAATTTGGCTCAGGCACTTAACATGACATGCAAAGGTGGGTTAGAAGGGTGACTAAATAAATTTTGTATTTAACCTTTTTCCTTTATTTGCTTATCTACCCAAACCGAAGTCACTTAGCCACTCACTTGGGAAGCTCTCGAATACGGCCTTATAGGTGCTGTAAATTGCAACTGAAGCAGAATCGAGAACTGGTGTTAGGTGTAGGGCGATATAGAGGGAAGAAAAAGAGGAAAAAGGAACAAAAAAGAGAAAAAAGTAAGAATTGGTGTAAATATTTGTTTTGTTGTAAATATTTATGTTGTGTAAATTTTTAACTTAAATATATTTAGTTATTAATTAGGAATCCCGTAGTATACGAGGAAATTTTTGGGATTCAAATTTGTGCATGAGGAGAGAAAATAGGAACTTATGTTACTTTGAAAATAGTTTTAAATCTTTATTTGATGCGGATGGAAATTATAGAAATTATCAAATTAAGAAGTTTGAATTAATATTGGTGAAGTACATATGTAGGCAAGTTCAAGGTCTTCAAATTGCGGAAGCAGCTCGTCGCTGAGGTAAGAGATGCAATCATTAATTCTGAAAGCAAGCTATTTAGTCTTTTTGCACGTAAAATTGTACTTGAACTAAAGTTAAACATGAAATACATTATAAATTTTTCATATCGTCGAATATTTGTCTACTACTTATTATCCATGTGCAAATGACCATATATAGAGATTTTAATGATTTAAGTTAAAAATTAAGTATCTTGTGATTTTATAAACATTTTGCTAATTGATAATATTTTGAAAAAGAAAAAAAACATATGTTATTTATCATCTCCCTTGTTATACATACAATGAAATTACCTAGTTATTTTAAATAATGCATAACATGTTTAATTATAAGTTAAAGTAAATGTAGTGATTATTATTTGATAATCCTGAAAAAATATCATATTGGGTGATAGGAAGTGGGCCAATACTACCTGATGGGCAATGCGACCTCGGTACAATGAAGTTTATGGGCTATGGATGTAATGCAATCTTAGTATGATGATGCATACGAGTCGAGATAACCTAGACTTAGGCAGCTTGATAAGACAAATTCTTTGGCTAGAGATGATATAAAATTTGGAAAAAAAGATATGCAATTACGTAAAAATATATGTGATTATATTTAGAATTAAATATTCAAAACAATTAACATGATGTTACTTTCCCTGTAGTATTGTGATTGGTGTTTCATCTTTTTAATTTAGGTGAGCATAATAATGTTACATGGTCTTTATATACACATTCATCTAATTTATACATTAATTATATTTTATAAGATAGGCATGGCTTAATTACATCAATCATTACACCTATATATTAGTTTCATCTTTTGCACACTTGAATCCTATGTTAGAGCTGCATATTTTTCTGAGCCTCTAGATTACTAGACTTTTATTCTGACTTTTTTTGTAGGATATGGGAAGGATAAGGTTGAGGTTGAGTAGAAATCAGTTTAATTTACATCTTATATTTTGTTATGTATAATTTTAAGATAGGGAGGTATGTAGGATACTTTTTTATGAATATTTTGGGTGCTTAGTTTCAATGCAGATATAAATTATCTATGAAATTTTGGACTGCTTACACTTTGTTGATAAATGTTGATATTTTTCATGAATGTTTATGAAAAGTTGATGCAGTATGAAATATAAAATGAATTGTATTTATCTGCTGCATCCATCATCAACTGGTAGGAGTGTAGTTGGCATGGGGCATGACAACTCTCATATATAGAGAATTGAGTTTGAAAATTAAGATTTATGGCCTTGACTGTTAGGTTAGGTGGGTTAGAAAATTTTCTTTTAAATGAAATTTTATTTAAAAAAGGCCTTGAATGATTGGTGAACATTCTTTTTTCGTATAGATTATTGTTGGGATACGTGCCTTGTCAATTATACCACTGATATGGTGGGTCAGGTTTGTGATTGGAACTTACAATACTACCCTATTAGCAAAAGGACCCCGAGCATTTTTGTTTTATTATTTTGTAATTAAGCCACAGTTGGAACATATCTCTTCTTGACTCCATTCTTGGCATGTGGAGGTTCAACTGGAGCAAACCCCTCAATTTCTTAGTGTTTGCACCCTTCTAGCATTTTTAGGAATATTTTCAAGTGGTTCCTAAATTTTTAATGGAAAGATGGGGTTCATACACCTCGAAATAAGTGCAACACAATTTGAGAATGTGCAAAATATACATTTACTTAATTTTCTTGTCACATTAAGCAAATTCATTTACTAATTCACACAGACAACTTTGTATGCAAGGCATTGAACTGATGAAATGGTGAGAGTAGAGCTCTCAACCATTAGGCTTAGTGAGCTACTTTTTTTTTAGAATTTTCTATAATAATTGTGATATTTTTTAGGATTTTTCTTCATTTTTTTTCTTTTCCCCATTTTCTCCGTTCTTATTTTTATCTTATTCCTTATGTTCTTTTTGCTAAAAAATATCTCAAAATATCATGAGTATTTATCATCCTCTCGCTTAGCTCGAGCAAGTATGTGCAACATAGTTGAGATGTTTTAACTAGAGAATAAGCTTGCACATTTTTCAAAGTAATATAATTTTAGCCATATTTTTCTTAAAATATGCGCAACGTTTTTAAGTTGTCTTGACTTCTTCTTACAAGCATTATTAAATCAGCACAACATGAGGCAATCACACAGAATATATAGATGAAAAATAAAAAATTACAAAAACAAAATTAAAGATAATATGATGACATAGGAAGAAGTTTCTCATAAAAAAAAAAACACACATATTTACAACACCTTGCTAGGCCAGACTTTATAATTTCTCCTTGTTATTTTTTTTTTCTTTTTTATCTAATATTTGTTTTATGCACACTATTCAATTTTTTTATGGCATATCACAAAACTTTTTTATCTAATATGATGACATGCACACTATTCAATTTTTTTATGGCATATCACAATATTTGTTTTATGCACACTATTCAATTTTTTTTATAGCAATTCAACTAATACGAGGTAAATTTATGAAGTGTATCGACATTCCAGACTCATCGGGATTTATGAAATAGACAAACTGAGCGCCTTCTTCATGTTAAAAGGATGTTCTAAGCCAATTTGTCCTAAAATTACATCTGACTATGGCTTTTGTCGTCTCATTCAACTGAGTCGATTTACGGAATGCATATAATAGTCAACAACGAACAATATATATGGTCAAAGTTTGTGAAGTTTCCTTGTTTTATGCAGGATTAGATGCACTACTAAGAGCTCAACCCACCTCTTTCAATAGGCTTGGTGGATTTCATATAACTATTGGGGGGTTATAATCAATAACAGGGGCTCTCCCCCACCTCTCCACTGGGGTTAGGATGAAAAACTGTTACGTACATCATACAAGTAGTAATGAAGAATTTATGTACAGTTAAATTATTCTCTGTGCTTTTTGTTGTTTAAGAAGGTTATTGTTTAATTTGTGAATTTATTTAACATCATTCCTAATCATTCGCCTTAATACTATTTTTCTTTAGTATCCTTTCTTATATTTTTGTTTCCTGTTGCAGGCCTATCCATATGAAATTGATTGGGCTACTACTTATGAAAATCCAACTCAGCCTTTAGTTGTTGATATTGGGAGTGGTACTTCTATTTCCATTTTGTTGCGTTTATGTGATTTATTGTTACACGTGATTTCCAATTTTAGATGTTCACTATAAGGTATTTTTGGCAAGCCTTATTGAATATTGGATTTTTTGCTGTTGAGTGAAAGCCATAATTTCTTTTTTGGCATGTTAGAAATTTGATTTTATTACATTGGACTTTTATAAGCCTCACTCGCAGTCTCTTTTGGTTAATTTATTACATCCTCAAGATTACTATATATAGGGAACTACACAAAATTGTTTGGATCTCGAATTTTATAATGCAGCTAACTGTAAACTTGATCTTATAGTAAAAATACCTTGCATAGTATAAATAATTAACTTGTCCTATAGCAACAAGCATGTCTATTACATGATTAATTATAACTCTAACAAAGACTCATGTATCCATTTCCTCAACCCAGAAATTTCAGACTGATACTGGATTTTAAACGATGATCAGAAGGGGTAATAATGTTCAAGATAATCACAAACCTGATATAATTGGACATTATGTATTACCATAAGTGTACTTATACTAACTCAGATATATTGCAACAAATGCACATGATGCATTCCAGTTTTAGGGAGCCTGATATATATGTGTCACTCATAATGATGATGTCTATTGTCTTCAGCAGTCGCTAAGAAACCATGAAATATGGACATAAAAATTTCGAAGAATTAGAATATAGGGCATATATGAGACAGACATTGAAATATAGCCATCATAGTACGACTGTTCCCTCGATACATGGCAATATAGGTCATAAAAAGCGTTGTACAGCATTTTCTAAAAGAGAAATGAAGAATTGAGTGATGCAGGGGATTGAGGGGAGAAATTCTGGCTGATTAAAATGTAAAAAATGTTGTTGGAATCGAGCATAGATTAAGAGAACAACTGGGAAGCTAGGGTATTAAAAATTGTATCTTAACCAAACGAGGGAAATGATAAAGGAAATTTAGAATCTTCACTATGAATTTGCCCCAAAAAATAGTCTTTTAAAGCAACTTGAGTTGGAGCTTGTTATTAAGAAGAAATGACGAACCTTTGAAGCGTTTTTGTTCCTTATTTTGCAATGGAGATGGTGACATGAGGTTAGGATTTCAGAAAGGGGAAATTTTGAAGTCATGGGGTCGTTGTAGAATTTTTTTGATATCCTTGGAGTCATGTTTAAGCTTTCAATACTTGAATTACACAGCTTTTTTGTTTGGAAAACCCAGAAGAGCCATGGTCTTGCAGTTATGCTTCCTTTTTTCTGGCAAGGGCAAATGTGATTGTCGGAGCAGTAACTTGGTGTTTTGCCAACAAAATGGTACATGCAACTGCGGTGCGGCAGGGATTGCCGCCACAACAAAGGCAAGATGTAGATACAAATGAGCCTAAGTGTGTTCAATGGTCTAATCTGCATGTGATATATGACAGTTTGAGTTTGTTTAGCTTGGGGTGCTTGGACATGTTTTTAAATGGCCAGATGGACTTTTGAAAATCTCCTTTCTATACTTATTGGCCATGCCCATGCTGGGCTGGCAAAAAAGGATCTTACAACGGGTTTGTGACTGCCACAAGCATATTATAAACTGTTTGTGGTATTTTGGGCTTGGTATGCTTGGGATGAATCTGCCTGGCCATTTGATTGAGAGCACATACCTGCCAATCCAAATCTTTCTTATAGCCTTATCTTTCTCATTCCAGACCATTTTGAGTGATCTTTTTTTTTTTTTTTTCTGGTTTTAATCTCCTACATTCTTTCTTTTATAATTTGCTCTTAGTGACTGTTGACTAAATTAAAAATAAAAAATAAAAAATGCAACTTCCTTCGTACAAAAAGGACAAACAATAGGTGATAAAAGAAAATTCATCTAAATCATCTGATTTAGCGAGTGAAATAGTTGAAATAGCTGGGGAATGAAAGACATATAAGGATTATTATAAGCTGCCAAACGAATGATAGTTTGTTGAACACAATCATCAACATTCAAGAAGATGAAATAACATAAAAAGCAGCCATCTGTTCTGGTGAAGACAAAGAAAAATATAATAAAGATTCCAAGCAAGCTACTGAAGTTGAAGAGAAACAGAGATCAGTGGAAGTTAGTGTCTGCATCGAGAAGTTAGAAAAAGATAACATGTTAAAAAGATTTAGCATGGATTGCATAGATGATGCTGACAAGAACTTAGCAGATGCAATGATGGATTCAATTTTAAAAAAAAATTCAGAAATCATCAGAGAGAAACATCTCTTCACAAAACCCATTTCGATGCTTCTATTGAATAACTGCCATTCAACGACTCAATCCATATAGAGGAGAGAAATTAGAGAAGAGAATTTACACTTACAATCTCTGAAATTTTCTCTTACTTGTATGTCTCTGATGTCCACCTCCTGATCAAACCCATGCAAGAGGACCTCCAAACCTGTGCCCAATGCCCCTTATGCCGGAATCGAGCTCGATTATCATGTCAACCTGTCCGATCGTTCACTGGATTAAGCCTCGTGAACACCTCTGCCTTTGTTCCGCGTTCATCTACAGCACTGAACCAGTCCACGCAAATGCCTCTCTCACGTGAACTGTCTTCTGCCTGCTCAAGTCCACACAAGTTTTGTTTCGAATTGCATGCCCACACGTGAACTATTGCTCCCACCAGATTACTCTTTCTTTTTTAGTGCAAATATAGGTCAGAAGCAAAAGAATTTCTTCAACTTTTTATTGTAAATCACATGAGCAACTGCTATATGTCCCATGACTCAAATATTGACCAAAATTGTTTTAATTATCTTGCAAGCTAAACAGAAGCAAAACTCTTCACACAACCACGTGAATTCCTGTACTTGGAATTAATTCCATTGTCATTTTTTTTATTCTAGCAAATTTTTAAGTGTAGGGAATTAATTCCAAGTGTATTGGACTACTTCTAATATCATGCTTATGTCTACTAATTATTCTAGTACTTGGAATTAATTCATATAATTAACTACTTCCAATATCATGCTTATGTCTTCTACTCCCTACACTAAGTGTAATTAATAATTGCACTCTTTACTTGTCCTATAAAAAAAAAAAAAAAAAAAACAGAGTGAACTTTATTTATATATATTAAAAAAGGAGTTTTTGTAATAAATTACAAATAGAAATTCAAATCAAGACCTAGTACCATTGATTTTAAAGCTGGTCGGGAAGAATTTCAGTTGAAGATCTCACGTCGTCGATCTTTGATCTGGTCGAGATGATTTCAAATTGAAGACCTTGGTGCCGTTGACCTTAGGCCCAGTTGAGATGATTTTAAATTCAAAGCCTCGCGCCGTCGACTTTATGTCTGGCTGGGAAGAAATTATTGGCAAATGCCGTCTTGACCTCCATGTGAGGGAGGGGATGTTGGGCGGTTGCCGAAATCGCCTCAGAAATTACTTAATTGGAGAGCGATTCGACTTGAATATTAATTGATTAATTTGATCAACTATTCAACGTTTTTAATTAAAGTTAATTAATTAAAATGAAATTATTTAATTAAAATTTAATTAATAAAAATAAATTAATTGTTATTAATTAATGAAAGATTAATGGATTGAAATTTAATTTCAATTAATTAAATTGGTTGGAATTAATTAATTGAACCTCAATTAATTAATTAAAGAAAATAATCAAAATCAATTGATTAATTACTTGAAACTAATTAATTAAAATTAATTAATTAGTTGAAATTAAATAATTAATTAATTGAAATTAAAATAATTGGAAATTGATTAACTGATCGAAATTATTTGATTAATTTAAAAACTTGAGAGCAAATGTAAAAATCCATGAGCTGTTTAAAATTCGAGAACAGTTAAAATACGAGAGTAATGAAATTTACTATTAGTTAATTAATTTATACAATTAAATAAAAAATTTGCTTTAGATTAATTAATTCTTTAAGTTATTAAAGAAAATGTAGAAAAAGAAATGCTGTTTTTTTACTAATCAGATGTTTACAAATTCAACAACTACTCTCTGAAGCTTGTACAGACAACAAACAACTCAATATTGAAGCTCTCCAACTCACTTAAGTCACATCGAAACATCTCAAACAACATCTTTCCAACTCACAAACACTCTGTTCTCCAAATTTTCTACAGAACTCTCCACAACACACTCTGCATGCTCTCCAAAGCCTCTCATGTACTAGCTCCTATAATAAGCAAATGAAATTTATTAAGCAACACGATAACAACAACATCAAGTCTTTATCCCACTACGTGGTTCGGCTACATGAATCCTTTTTCGCCATTGTGTCATGTTAAAAGTCAAATTCTCATTTAAATCTAATAAAGAAAGATCATTTGTAATATTTCTTAACCAAGTCTTTTTAGGTCTATGTCTACCTTTCTTAACATAAGTCAAATCTAATACCTCAACGTTTCTAACTGAGTCATCGGAAGATCTTCGTTTAATGTGACCAAATCATCTAAGGCAACTCTCTCTAATCTTATCTTCTAATGGAGCTACTCCAACCTTTTCACGTATATGCTCATTTCGTATTCTATCTCTAAGAGTAAAGCTACTCATCCACTTAAGCATTCTCATCTCTGCAACACTTAACTTAGTATTAAGCTTCTCTTTTAATGACCAACATTCGGCACCATAAAGCATTGCAGGTCTCACCACCATCTTATAAAATTTTCCCTTAAGTTTGAGCGGGACTTTTCTATCGCACAACAAGCCCGATGCACTCCTGTACTTCAATCATCCAACTTAAGTTCTGCCGATGATATCCCCATGCATTGAAATTAAATTAACATTAAAATAAATGTTAAAGAAATAATAAATGTTGAAAGAATAAGTGTTACACTAAGCAGAATAGACTGAAAGTAAAACAAGCTACTGGTAAAAGAATTATTAGTACAGTCTACATCACTGGAAAAAAAATCAAAGTATTGTAGCAAGAGCACTAGTGTTACACAAACAATAACTGCTAGCTAGTAAGTGTCAAATTAATAAATAACTTAAAGACACGGT